GTAGATGGTGTGTAGATGGTCTGTAGATGGCGTGTAGATGGACTGTCGATGGTCTGTAGATGGCGTGTAGAGGATGTGTGTGGTTTGTAGATGGCGTTTAGATGGTCTGTGGATGGTCTGTGAATGGCATGTAGATGGCGTGTAGATGGTCTGTAGATGGCGTGTAGAGGATGTGTGTGGTTTGTAGATGGCGTTTAGATGGTCTGTGGATGGTCTGTGAATGGCGTGTAGATGGCGTGTAGATGGTCTGTGGATGGTGTGTAGATGGACTGTAGAGGGTGTGTGTGGTGTGTAGATGGTGTGTGGATGGACTGTAGATGGTGTGTAGATGGTGTGTAGATGGCGTGTAGATGGCGTGTAGATGGAGGGACTCACCCTGTGAGTAAGAAGAGTTCCATTCAGCAAGGTCTGAAGACACGACACGTTCCGGCATTGTCCGCAGCAGCGGTTGACGTCTCCCGGAGGCTCGTACACCTGGTTCTGGAAGAGATGACGGTATGGGACAGTGAGTGTCTCGGGGGACATGTGTGTGCTCTACTGTTGTGTCTTAGAACATACAAAGCACAAGCTCAGTCCCGGTTCTGATCCAGGACATATCAGTGTCAGATGTCTGAAGACAGAACCGTCTGCGTGTAATATGAGGAGCCAAATTCAAAGAAATCTTCACACTGAACTTCATAAAATGTGCCAGAAAATTCCATCATATAAAGATATATAGCGTGTAACATGTGACATACCAGCTGCTCACCCTCAATATGCTTTTACTGTCCCTTACATACACGTCCCTTACATACACGTCCCATACACACAACATATAATGGAGTCTTCCTCACCGTGTGGCAGCGAGCGGCGCAGCGCAGAGATGAGACGTTTATTTGATGGTATTTGGAGGCGGGATCGATCAGAGACGTGCAGTGCAACGCGTGACACACGCCCTCTGATGTGTGTTCAATGATTGTCTGACCCGGCCGGAGGATTCCGCCATCTTTACTGAGACACACCGATGCCTTCACTGCAAGAGAGATCACATGACCATCTAACCAATGAACAGCGGCCTCCCACACATGGTACAATATGGTCCCAGAGACAGAGCCCCCCATAAACCAGGGATGAGGACTGGAGGGCAGGGGGGGGGAGGGGGAGAGGGGGCGGGGCTGTGAGGACTTACCA